AGTCGCCCAGAGTATCGCTGCCCAAGCAGTGGCAACGCGTCCTACCAGCAGTAATCCCACGCCGCACCCTTTCAAAAATGTGGTGGACGGGGGAGAAGTACAAAGTCCGCTCATCCCACTCCGAAGGGGACCGAGAGAAGTGGACGGGTCGGCGTCCTCCTCTACGGGCTCATGCTCCCGTTGTGTGTCTCGGGAACGTGAACCCAAACCTCGCTGTCTAGCCGTACTACATTGTGCAAAATCGACATAGATTAAGGTTCTATAGTATCTAACGTTCGCCTAACCGCATGATACAATGTTCGCAAAAATAGAGTACGTAGTACTAAAACAGAGCACAATTTCAAATTGAGAATATATGTCATTTTTCCAGCATCTAAACAATTTCTTGCAATACTATGGTAATTATTGTGACAAATTGGACAAGAATTGCTAGCAAAAACATCAAGAACAAGCCACATTGTATTCCTGACCATAAAAGGTCCAACAATGGTGATTTGTTCGTTTCTTCACCAAATTGGGTCAAACAAGTCTCAAATTACTCCCAAGGAAATATATAAACATAATCAAGCAATTTCATGGCATAAAATTTGACAAACAAAGTGAATTAAGAAATTTAAGTTTTGAATTTTTAAGAAATTCGTGAACCAACATGTGCAAAATTCATCAAACCCGGAGTGATTTTGAAGAAAACTTACATAGATTGGGAAAGTAGATGAAAGAAGCTTCGATTTGCAACAAATTTGAGCGAATTTGGTTAAGAAACGAGCAAGAACGACCAAAGAAAAACTCAGCGACGATTTTTCAAAGCAGAATAAATAGCAGCAGCGAAAATGACGAAGAAAAGGGATACATACGGAAATTCAGACTCTAGCGCCAAACAACAGCTTTGGCGCCAAACGCTAGAGTTTAGCGCCTGGCGCTAGAGCCAAAATTGTGGCGCCAGCAATATTTTAGTGGCAGCAGAACGCTCAGCCACTGAGAACGGTTATTTTGACCTCTTACAACAATTTTGGTTTCCTTGGTACGCCAGTTAGTCCCTCTAAGAAATTTGACATGATTTTGTAATCGGCTTGATTACAATTTCATAAAGTGGTCGACCTGATGAATGATCGTCTCACTTATCTTAAAGCGCCTAAGCATTAGCTCATCGAAGGCACTGACATAAGGGTTCATAAATGGCAAAGGCACCGACATACTGGTTCATAATTCACAAGCAGCAAAAGCGCCGACGTACATGCATATCAAAGCAAAATATCGACAGGTGTTTGTCTTCGGTAATTTTCCTCGCAATATTATCGCAATAAATGAAGATAACTTCAGGCAAGGATATCTTTGACAGCGTTCCCTAGCTTGCGGAGAGTTGTCACAAACAACTGGAGGTGATTTCAGGCGAAGTTATCTTCGATCGTGTTCCCTTACTTGTGGAAGATGGTCACAAAGTGCTAAAAGGTTGTTTCAGGCGAAGCAATCTTCGATGGGGTTCTTTAGCTTGAAAAAATCTATCACGGCGGAATTGAAGGCAGTTACAGGCATAGCAGTCTTCAGGCGGTATTCTCTAGCTTGTAGAAGATCGTCAAAATAAATAGAAGGATGGCGTTCCCTAACCTCTGGAAGGTTATCACAAATACAACAGCAATGCAACAGCAACAAATCGGTTACTTTCAGAGACGTGTGCTTGACGGTGTAAGATACACGTTTCTTTACTCTTTTATCTGTTTTAACTAACGCTAGTTTTGCAAGTATCGACATTACAAGAATGGTTTAGGATCGCAGAACTTTCTGAATCATTCTCCGTCCCTATCGATACTTTGACTTTTGTTTTCAAAACTTGCGTTTCTCCAAACTCAGTCAAAGTGGGGGTTTCTGCAGACACCCATTTGTGTCTCCCCAAAACTAAACCCGGTGATGAGTAACTTTAACGTCGAATCATAATTGAATGAAGTGAAAGTGTGGAAAGTCTAGTGTTGCGGTTAGTTTTTAATTCTTTTCTTTCTCTCTGTTTTTGAAAACCTACTTATAGAAAACAGCCCATCCAGTATGTTTTGGTCCATAGAAAGGGTCCAATAATAGAATAGTTGGAGGGGGTTTGAAAAGAGCTTTCCAACGATATATTATAAGCCCAATTCCGATAAATAGTGAGGAAGTTATGGCCAAATTACTAAACTGGGCCCGGTTTAATATTTATGTGCGGTCCAATGATCTAGAGGAGGGCCTAATATTGATTTATCATTCCTAATGCAATTAGAATTGATTTTAGTCTTCTAGATTCTTCTAGAAGGTTCTTTTCATTCCTAATTTAATTAGCATTGATAAATTGACTTTAGTTGACTTTTTTAGAGTTTTAATCACAATAAAAGAAGTGTTTTTAAGGAAAATACGATTTTTCCCTTCTGTACGGCTAAATTTTATCAAAATTAAGAAAACGCGTGAAACTGGTTTCTAGCGCCTGATTACACGATTAGCGTCTAGCGCTAGCCTTAGCGCCTGGCGCTAATGTCTAGCGTCTGGCGCTAAGTTGTTTTATTCTCTTCGAAACTCTGGTTCGTTTTCTATCCATCCGGCTAATTTTCTATATAAATAGCCACTAAAAACAGCCGTTTTGAATCATCAACAACTATTAATTTTCTTATTCTCTCTAGTTTTCAAGATTCTCTTGATTTTTCTCTCTCTAGCTTTTTGCATACAAAATTCCGCATTCACAAGATCTGGAAACACCTAGCCAAATTCGAAGTTGCCTTCGCCCTAGACATGAAAGGTTTTAATTTCTGAGGGTTTGGTCCCAAATCTCTATTTCAATTATTTGATTTAATTGTTTGATTTTATTATTTTCCTTGAAGCTACTAACGTGTGTATTTTGTTATTAGAAAGAGATACGAGGCATCCAAGTAAGTGCTTTAATTGATTTATTGATATTATGATATAGAAATCATGTCTAGGTTGTTATTATGATTCCTAGTATCATGTTAGGATGCTTGATGTTTTGAATGACAACAATGATTCCTAGTATCATGTTTAGGGTAAAGGTTATAATATCAAATATACTTATTATGATTTCTATGATGCTTCCTATTTTCTTTCCTAATATTCATGTTAGTATCATGTCAGGGCTAAATATTTAATCTTTGATGTTTAGTGACATGCTAGTATCATGCCTAGGTTCTTGCTATTAATATTATGCTTTAATATGATTGTAATTATTATTATTTTTATAATTAATATTGTTATTAATTATTAGTATTATTAATTATTATTATGTTGCTTGATATTTATTGTAATTGCTTGATCACACCTTTTATGCATGTTTAAAGGGTGGTACTTGTAATCACGCTTAATAAGATAATTAGTAATCTTGTTTAGGGTTAATTTGATTATAATTCAAGTGATCGCCAATAATAGTTTTATTTGTGCATTAATATTCAACCAACATAGATAAATAGGTTAAGGGTTAAACCTATTGATTGCATGTTAGTCAGAAAGCGCACATGAATACGATCAGAATAAAGTAGAGGCTTATTATTAGGGCAGGTTCAATCTCTTTTAGGTTGGATTTGTACCTTCATCCCCGAACTACCAGTCATTGTTCCAGACCCACTGGAGTTGACAATCTCCTGGATCGTTAAGGAGTGTAACCTTCACCTCGTCAACGGTTTACAAGTTTCTAAAACTTGTTGGCGACTCTTTTGCTCTATCTTCTTTCCCTTTGGACGCCACCATGCTTTAGTGTATGATCACAGTGGGGTTCAAGTTTGGGGTAATGCTTGAAATATTCCCTACACCTAGAAACTGTTTGCCAAACCTTTCAGCCCAAAACATTTTAGAGTTACCTTCAAAAGCCGAAACGATGTCGTCCTCATCAATATCAGGAAGAACCCACTTTTTCTTCGACCAAACACCAGACCCATAAGGCCAATTTGTCTTCCTAACTCGCGAATTGAAAAGGGATTTCCATTAATGTCCATCAAATTGCTTCAAAGCTTCCATATCATGTTGAACGTCCAACAATGCGCTGGAGCGAGAACGATAAACGATCTCATCGAGGGAGTAGGACTCGGTGAAGTCAGGTGGCGCGTTGAAGGGACGTACTTGGCGGAGAAATTGTGGGATTTGGCGTAACGACGAGCTTCTTCGCGGATGTTTTTGTGGGCGGCGCTATGGGTGGAGGTGGAGGAGGAAGAGGAGGTTGTGGTGATTGGTAGGAGGGTGAAAATGGGGGTTTTCCGAAACTGTGCTAACTTGCTTTTCACTTTTGTAGAGGAAGTGACGGCGGATTTATTAGGAATTCAAGAGGGATGAGGGATTTATATTGGGGTTAGGCTTGGTTAGGGAAGAGGTTTTTAAGAGAGAGAACAAGTGAATGAGTTTGAAGGGAAATATGTATTAATATAATAAAAATAGTACCGAATAAAAAGGGTTGGGGCATTGCAGTTTAGGGAGCAAAGGTTCGAGACCCTCAAAACTAGAGAACGGGTCTCTTATCTATTCTTTTTTCTTTCCTAGGACACATAAGAGACCCGTTATAATTAATATCGGATCTCTTATATCAAACAGATCTGTTAGTTAAATAACGGGTCTTTAATTGGGGGTCATTTTTCCAAGTTTTGTAGTAGTTGAAGAAGGTGCCAGTGCATATAGGATTCTAAAAAGTGTAGGCTTCCTAAGTGCACTTGTGTTGGGTGAAGGAGATGAAAGTTTAGGGTGGTTTCAAGGAGGTCTATGAATCAAGATTTTTGGCAGATCAAGGATTTGATTTTGAAGCATAATTGTTTAAGGGTCAGAAGCAACCTAAACCTCACAGCTTAATTATTAGCTGACAAGTATATTGAAAACTGGAGGAGTGACCTAGGGTGAAAACTGAAAAGCTTTAGAAGAAGGGTTTTAGGTGATCTTGGTATTGAAATTACATACCGTAAAGCTTGGTTGGGAAGAGGAAGGGCTAAGCTTATGATATATGGATCATAGCAGAATAATAAGCAAGAGTGCGGGACTATGGGAAGGCTTTGATGAAATACAACCCAAGCACTGAATGCAATGTTGTAGTTGATGGAATTGATAGGCCTGAGCCCCCATTATTCTTAAGAATGTTCATATGCCTTGCACCAGCAGCAAAGGGATTTCTGTCAGGTTTTAGACCACTGATTGGGGTTGATGGATGTCACCTAAATGGTCCATACCCTGATCATATATTAGTTGCAGTTGGTAAAGATGGAAACAACAACATCTACCCTATTGCATGGGCCACAACTGAAATAGAGAACACGGAGACTTGGGTTTGGTTCCTTGAAAGTCTCATGAAATCCCTGAAAGATTAAAATCAAGAATTGGGGTATACTTTTATGTCAGATAGGCAAAAGGTAACCATTTACACTCTTGTGTTATCTAATTTGAACAAGTTATTTCAAATCTTGTTTTAGTTGGCTGACTATGTTTGGTATCTGAACAGGGGCTGCTTGAAGCATTGCAACAAGTTATGCCATATGCAGAAACTAGGTATTGTGTCAGACATACATGGGAAAACATCAAGTTGCAATTCAATGAAGCTACATTCAAGGAGTTGTTCTGGTCAGCAGCAAGGGCAACAACACTGGTATCCCTTGTTTTCTAAAATTTTGTTCTTTTGTATGTTTTCAAGTGGAATATTAAGCTTTTAAGATATGCCACTCTAATGTTTTCTACATGTCATTGTTCTAATCTGCCTCCTTTTGTGTATTTTTCAAATAAAACCTATGTAGTTTGACTTTGAAGTAACAATGGAGTCAATAAAGTTCTTGTCAGAAGAAGCTTATGATTATCTTGTTAATATCCCTCCTGAACACTGGTCTAGGAATTCTTTCAGTTCTTTCCCTAAGTCAAACATGTTGCTCAACAACATTTGTGAGACTTTTAATGCTGTTATTAAAGAAGGTAGGGATAAACCAATCTTGACTCAAATGGAGTGGCTTAGGAGGTATTTCATGAAAAGAAATCTTGATAAGTGGGAAAGCTTTCAGAGAATGGAAGGAAAGGTGACTCCATATGTGAAGAAGACATTCCAAATAATTGAATCAGTTGCAAAGTACTACGTTGTACAATTTTCTAGGGGTGATAGTTATGAATTTGAGCTTAACTCAGACCTATTAACAGTTGACCTGAGTAAGCATACATACAACTGCTACCATGGGAACTCACTGGTACCCCTTGTGTCCATGCATATGCATGCATAATGGACAAAAGGGCTTACCCTAAAGACTATGTGGACATAGCCTACCTTGTGTCTACATACATGTTGGGCTGTTGGCATATAGGTATGAAATTGCAGCAATGCCTGGTCCACACTACTAGGACAAAGTGAAGCTAAGGCAACCACTACCACCAGCCATCAAAGTACAGCAAGAGAGACCTAAGTCTAAGAAGAGGAATTTAGAGAAGGGAGAAGTGCCAAACCTAAACCAGAATCAGGAGTAGTTGAGTGTGAAGATGAAGAGCACTATCAAGAACTACAGGCAACTAGGGCACTTTGCTAAGCTTTGTAAAAATCCATCTGTCATACCAGTAGTTGTGTCTTCCCCTAAGAAAGAATGTGGAAGGACACCTTTGAATAAAGACTAGGTGAATGACCAAAGAAAGAAGAAAGAAGAAAGAACTTTGAAAAAGGTAATAATGCGAATTGATCTTAGTCATTTGTTATGTGTTACTCAGCACCCTATTGAGTCTTAAATTTGTTTTATAGAGTGCTTCTTTGGGTGGAATAGCATGACCTAACAGCATTGCCAATAAGAGGTTTCCCCAAGAGAAGCTAAGGAATAGCAGCAGAATCAAAGTCAGCAGAACAGTCAAAGTCAAACCCAGCACAACACTCAAACTCAAAAGCAGACTCAGTCTAAGCAGCAGATTAAAGCTTCAACTATAGTAGTCCCTTCTACCTCTACCAGGAAAACAAGATCCAAGTTGAATCCTATTAGAATTAGGGATTAGCTGACTTATTTTAGTCCAACTGAACATATGATATGGTCTGTAATATTTTTGAGCAACTTAACAGTGTTGGTGAACCTATATTTTGGTCTAGATTGCTTGTATTTTGAGCTGTCAAAGTGAACAAATATTTTTGCTGTCAAATGCACGCATGTCAATTTGACAATAGCACTTAATCAGTGCACTTTTAACCAAACTTGTGTTTTTATGCCTAATTTGATCATGTTGTTGTTGTGTTTGTCTAAGTTATGTTTTAACCAAGCTTGTGTTTTTATGCCTAATTTGATCATGTTGCTTTTAAAGTGATCTTTAACTCACTCAACTTCAAGCTTTTTAAAGCACCTTACTCAATCACAGCTTTATACAGCGAAAACAGTACACAAATTATGTTGCAACAAGTTGATTTATTTCATTCATCATGAAAGAGTACAATATTCCAAGCCTTAACACCCCCTCCCACTTATTACATTATATGCATTACAACAAAACCTAGAATAACCAACAGAATAGAACACAAAACAACAAAATAAACTAGAAGCTTGTTATCTAAATTGGCAGAGTTGGTGATGATCATATTCCTATTTCCACTAAGAGCCTTGCATTTTACTTTCAAATTGTCCACCTCATTCAGCAGACACCTTCTTTGCCCAGTTAAGTCTTCAACATCCCTTTTCATAGAGTTCACTTCAGCTTTCATCAACTTCTTGTCAAGAAAACATTGATTGATCACATCTCTTTGCCAATCTGTTCCATCTCTAGTGTCAACCCATTTAAAACACTTGCACCCCCTATTTTCAGTGTTAAAATCATAGAATTTTCAAGCCGTGAATTTCCTCCCAGTGTTCTCCTAGTCCAAGATGTTAATTTTGCAAAAGGCAATCTACAATTGCATTTCTTCTTATTTGTGGGAGAAGAGTTATTACAACACATCAAACCTGCAATTACCATAAAAGATGTTAGTTTATGCAACAACATCCACCAAACCACAAATTATACACATCTTAATCAAGCACACCTATTCACTGAGGTGGTTGGCCACCAAAATGAGGATAACCAGGGGGTGGCCAAGTCCCAATTTGTTTCATCATGTACTCAATGATACAGTCAGCCAAGAAACCAGGGTCATCTGTGCTCCCAACATGTATGTTGTATGTGTCCTGATTAGGTAACCTCCTAATCATCTTGAACACATCACCATCATCCTCTAAGGTCCTGAACTTCCCTTTACAAATGTACTGGAATATGGGGTACAGTAGGTCAATTGATCCCTCTAATGGATCATCCATATCACGAAGTTGATCTTCAAATGCTATTGCTATATCTTGCAAGTTACTTTTACCAATCTCATATTCAATGTCAATATCAACACTCAAATACTTAAATCTGAGAATCACCTTATTCTCCTCCATTTCTGCCACAACAATTCCAACAACAAATAAACAACACCAGCTGAAAACATGTTCCAATCATCCCTAACATGCCCTAAAATTTGTAACTACAATTTCAGCTAAATTATTTCAAAATCAATCACACAATTTGACAGAAACCCCATTTAAATACTACTAGATAACCTAGTAACCTACATTAATCAATTCAATTGCCTTCAGAGCCCTAATTAATTCCCCTAATTAAATTAACACAAATTCCCCCAATTTAATTGACACAAGAACCCTAATTTTTACAAATTAAAAGGTTACGTGAAGCGAATTGATTTTCTGTTGTTAGGGATGCTACTGTTGTTACAATTCAACTCCAATTTGTGGAATTTGTGAAGAAATTTAAGATGGGATGGCAATTTTAGCTAGGGGAAGTGATTTATAAGAAGAATCGGGGAGGGAAAACTGTTAGAAAGCAAAAAAAAAATAGTCGCTTTTAGCCGTTGACTGGGCCCACGTGACTAAATTCCACCGGAATTTCAAATTGGGTGGTAATTTGAGTAACTAATTAAATTATTGGGTATTAATTTAAAATAAAAAAAAAATTCCGGTGGTTAGGTAGAAATTAGGTATATTTTTGGGTGATAAATTAAAATTTTTCCTTTTTTTGAATTTGATGTTGTAAAATTTTTTATTTTTATGTAGCAATTTTTTTTTTTAATTGTACAATAAAAATTTAATGATAATTATATTTCAGTTGATTATGATGTTGCGTTTCTTACATTTAATTGTTTGATTTTTATTTATTTTTTTTTTTTTTTTTTTTTTGAGGAAAAACGAGCACTCATATTGTAACAGCAATCAATATCCACCAAAAGTTTGATTATATTTCAAGTGAATAAAACAAAAGAAAAACATGGTGTATTCCCACCGTTGGCATTTAAATTTAATATAAAAAATTAAAAAAAAATTAACCGGAAAGTGAGTATTGCCACCGGTTGGTGGCAATAATATATATAATGTCACCGGTTAACCAATGGGAATAATAATTTTTGCCACCAATTTTGAACTGGTGGCTTTTAAAGGAGGTGTTAGCACCCCTTTAATGTCCAGCGGTTTAAAACCGGTGGCATAAGGGGGTTTTGAACCGGTGGCTTTTTGCTTTTTTTTACTAGTGATATATTCTTCTAGAGTGGAAGAAATACTAACCCAGTCTTTTTAGGGAGAAAAGTTCTTCCTAAAAGAGGAAGATTAATGTATACCAAAAAACAAACAAAAACAAAGAGAATATGCTCACAAGAAACAACGAATGGGGCTTTCCACCAATAAAAATTTCTCCAAAATTCAACAATGAAGGCTAGGTTTAAGAAAAAGGAGAGATGAGAAAGAGTATAGGGAATCGACTAACTAATTTATCTAAATTAATTTTGTTAGGCAAATTATTATATGTGGCTGACCACATCATATGGCAGGGGTTACTCGAATTTTTCAGTCAGGGGTTACTCGAGTTTTTTGGTCAGAGGGGTTACTTGAGGGTGTTCGGTCAGGGTTTACTCGGTGAAGGGTTACTCGGTTAAGGTTACTTGAGGGGTTACTTGAGGGTTTACTCGGTCAGTGGTTACTCAGTCGAGGGTTACTTAAGGATTTACTCGGTTGGGGGTTACTTGACGGTTTACTCGGTCAAGGACCACTCGAGTTATTCGCTCAAAAGTTACTCGAGTTACTCGGTCAGAGGTTACTTGAGGGTTTTGGTCAGAGGTTACTCGATTAGGGGTTATTTTAGTAGTTACTCTGTCAGGAGTAACTCGGATCGAGTAACCCTGTCAAAACGATGTGGCCAGCCAGGCAACCACACAAAAAAAATCTCCATTTTATTATTCTCGTTACAATTCTTCTCCTAAGGAAAAAAAAATTAAAAATTAATTAAGTTTTATTTAGAGACAGATAAGTAATAATTTTTTTTTAATGTTTATATAAATTAGCCACAAGAGAAGGTGATGATAATTGATACTGAGTACAATCAATTGAGCTATCTCACTCTACATAATACAAGTAACTGAAGTAAGTAATAATACTTTCGTTTATCAACCAAACAATGTGGAAAGAATAAAAACTTGAGCCAACAACTTGTAATAATGTTATTCCCATTTACCAACGCCAAATGAATGAATAAAAACTTGACCAACAACTTGTAATGTTATTTTTATTCCCTTGACGATCAATAGTACTACCCAACTGAGCTCACCATTGTGGCATTGTCATAAAGTTGGTATGTTATTGTCATAAGCACAACTATGTTATCCTATTGGCTATTGTACAAATCAACAAATAGTTCACTTAATCTTGATTTTTCATATGCCTATGTTATTTAACGAATCTTGCAATATTTGCCTTTCTGAATTATTCATTAACAAAGTTGACCTTACTATACACTTCTTTCTTTTGGTTTTACTTGCAAGTCTTGAAACACTTTGACATAATCCAAGGGCCGTTCACATTTACTTAATTTCAGTTCAGTTCAATTCAGTTCAGCTCCAATCAGTTCAGTTCAGTTCAGCTCCAATCAGTTCAGTTCAGTTCAGTTTAGTTCAGCTCTTAATTTCCCTCTCTCATAAAATATTCATTTCAGCTCAATTCAGTTCAGCTCCAATCGGTTCAATTCAGTTCAGTTCAGCTCCAATCAGTTCAGTTCAGTTCAGCTCATTTCAGTAAATGTGAACAAGCCCTAATTTGATTACTCCATATGGTTATTAATTTATATTTCAAGAGAAATATAATTATATGGAAACTTGTTAAAATCTAATGACTCAATTAATACCTTCATAATATCAAATATTATAGTTTTCATTTATTGATAAGAAAAAAATATCAATAATTGAAGTAATGCATGTTAATTATAAAAGTCAAGTGTTGCAAATAAAAAAGAAATTGGGGAAATTATTGTGTCTATACATTTTTTTTTAAAAAAAAAACCATATTGTGTCTATTTTTAATTTTTTAATATTTTTTTAATTTTACATTTACTATAATAAACCCCCTTTTTATCTTACTTATTTCCATATAAAATACCCCAAAATTTCTCAAATTCTCGTGTCATTATTTACTCTTTTTATAATTTTCCACCTTGGTATAAAAATTAGCACCTTCATGACACATTAGTATAAAAGTTAGCATTGGTGAAAAATTAGTATAAAAGTTAACAAATATCGACAAATTGGTATACAAATTAACAAGTTGTGACATTTCACCCATTTTTTATTTTTTTTGTCGAAAGAGTTTTTTTTTCAAATTTTAATTTTTTGTTGCTGTCAATTCTCATTTTATGCTAAATAATTCTCTCCTCCATGCTCATGCAACCAAGATTATCGACATAAAAAAAATAAAAAAAATTGTGAGTTCAAACAAAAACTCAAAAAATGAATGAAAAGAGAAGTTCTTATGATTTAATGCTTCAAAAGTTAAAATTGACATGTAATAAGTCGTAATATTTAAAAATTTGGGAGTAAATGTATTTATATTAAATTGAATATTGGGGAAAAAAATTCGATGTAACCTTTAAAATATTTAATCAAATCTTGATCTTATAATTTTTGTTGATTAATATTTATGAATAAGGATCTGTTTACATTTACTTGATTTCAGTTCAGTCCATTTCAGTTCAGTTCAGTTCAGTTCAGTTCAGATCAGTTCAGTTCAGTTCAGCTTCAATCAGTTCAGTAAATGTGAACAGACCCTAATCTCGGATATTTCTCTATATTCTCAAATTTTGTCCCTTTTTTCCTTTTTTTTTCTTCGTTTTTTTGCCTTTTATAGTGTCCAATAAATTTACAATAAATATTTGAAGCAAACAAAAAAAAGTAAAGAAAAACAATATATTTGACCTACAATAATAAGAATAATCATTTGTACAATATACACTTATTATTCTAACAACAAAAAAGGGTTAAACGTCATCACTTACAAACTTTTATGCCAATAAGTCATCACATATGAACTTTTATATCAATATGTCGCTGGTGGCTAACTTTTATACCAATCTGTCGCCGACGGTAACTTTTATACCAATAGGGCTAATTGGTCTAACATACTCATTTATCAAAAGCTTACTAAACATCATTTATTATTATTTTTTTTAAGTTTAACCCTGTAAACAAAATAAATACTATATTATGAGACAATGGGAGTAAGAATTTAGAAATATTATGTAATTACGAATTCAATTGTTGGGGGTCAAACGTTAATAATACAACATATTTTTAATGTTGAACTAGTCTATTATTTGTAATTTAGGAGTCAACTACAGTGGTCCACAGACAAACAATTAGGAATTTAGGATACTGTATTATATAAGACCTTTCTTTATGACATAAATCTTTATATCTAGATACCTTTCCCAATTAGCCAAAATTCTTCATCTTTAAACCCTCTTCATACCTGCTTTTCCTTCTAATAATTAAAAACATATGAATGATTATTAATCTTTCCTTAATTAATCTTAATTAATGGTATATGATTAGAAGAAACCCTTTTCTAGTCCCTTCAAAAACCTTCTTATAATCCTATAACTTTTTCTCTGTTTCATTCATATAAATCATGAATGATCAAAAACAGAACAATAGATCATTTTTACTAGTAAAACTCATTTATGCTCATCTAAATCACCTCAAATCATGTTGTTTTTCAATCGTATTACTCGTTTTTACCATAACTTTAATACTCACCCTAGCATACTACTCACATAGATTCCCCCTCCATAACATAAACATTATTACTATACAAACACCACAAAAACTCCATGCTCTTAACACCCCTTTATCACCAAGTGCATCAAAAAACAACTCGTACGAGGACAACCACGCAATCGAATCATACCCTATTCACAAGTCTTCGAGCGATGAAGAGTTGATGAGGAGGGCATCAAACGTTACAAGAATGGAAAATTTTGGGGTGCCTAAGATTGCTTTTATGTTTTTGATCAAAGGATCACTTCCTTTGGCACCTCTTTGGGAAAAATTGTTTAAAGGACATGAAAGATTATACACAATTTATGTTCATTCTGATCCTTCTTACAAATCTTCAGCTGAATTGAATTCTGGGGTGTTTCGTGGCCGCATGATTCCTAGCAAGGTACGTTTATTTGTTCCATTTGTTGTCCTTTTTTTTCATGAGTTGATAATGTTTTTTTTTTACCTTTATTCTTATTGGGTTGATTGATTAGATGATAAGAGTTTGTTCCATATCACTCTGTTTTTAAAGATTTTGGATTTAAAATTTAACTCAAAATTTCAATTGATTTAAGTTACCACCAAGTATTACTAGTAAGTAGTAACTTGTTTTTTTATGAAAATTCTACAATGGTCGTTTGAAATATGACTATCATAATTTTTTAATGATTATATAATTCATAATTAACGTATTTTTATCCAAGTAATTGATTATATTACTCTATTTTTGTTATAAAATATTATTATCAATATTTTTTTAATTTATTAAATTTTTAGTTTCATTTATGTAATTTTTACTCTTATTTTACAGTTTCTCAAAAAAATTATTTTATATTGGATTAAAATTTTCAAAAATTATATTTGTATTGTAGAAATTAAAATACTAATTGCGTCCAATTTATAACTAGAAAAAATGGATCGCTCATATTATTTATCATTAAAATAATAAGGTAGTCATATTTTATACGACTGCTGTAGAAACATCCTTGTTTTTACCGGTTTTTTTTTTTTAACAAAATGTTGTTTTTACGTGTTATTTATGCTTCAATGACAAGTCTTTTTTGAAATGTTCTTTGAACTAGTTTAATCTATTTTGCCTACCACAACTTACCAACTTCTAATATTATCACTAGTTAAAACTATTTCATGGTTTAGTATGTTGGGAATTTAATTTAGTCAGTATAAGTTTGTAAAGCTAATTTTTCATCATTAAGTAAACAAAGAGAATATATTTTGTTCCTTTCATCAAAATATCAACTTTGTTCTATCATAATTGCTCATACAACTTTTTACATGTCCTCTTTGTAAAAATAAAAAAATAAAAAAAATAAAAAATAAAAGTCAATAAGTAAACAAAGAGAATATAACACGCTGTTCGTTTCAAAATAAATCTTCGAAATAACCACGTAAATTGTCAAAAATAGAGGATTGTAAATGATGTAGCTAGTTATTGATACACAAGTTAAACATGTACTGTAATAAAAAGCGAAGGTGCATTCCAATAATGCGTTGAAAATTGTTGGATGAAAATTGACCAAATATGTTTGGCAATTGGCAGTTTGGCACTCATCGTCAATACTCCATTACTTTTTCCACCCCTTATGGAGTAATTAGCTTTCCTCAATTAGCTTAATTTAATTATCTTATGATTCTTATAAGCAAAATTAAACTGATTTTTTAGTAACTTTAAAACGTACTTTGAGCTCCTTTCCTCTAATGTTAAATAATTTACATATTTTAATTGCTTCATAAATCTAGAGCTGGCATATGTATTGTAAACCTCAATACTAACCTCATAAGTTTAATCTTGTGTGATCACATATATAAATTGAAAACATTTGACATTGATATACTTTTTAAGTGTTCCATATCGTGCTGAAGTGGTGGGCCATTTGATTATATAGATCATAAACCCTTGACAATAACTTTTTTTTTTTTGTTTTTACTAATCATGTTAAGTAAACTTTTGTCACATTTAAAAAATTTTGTTTAATTTCATTGATGCATATTAGAAACAAATTCAAGGTATGTAGGAATTTTTTTCCTGGCCTCTAAGGTGGAAAGAAACACCTAAATAAACATTGTACACCATTTTGATTGGTTACTTAGTTTACACTAATTAGAATAATAAGACTAATAGAAATATAGAATATCTAGTTAATTTTTGCTAAAAACAAAATTACTACAGTAGCAAGATAATCTATTTGAAAAGTCCACTCCCAATTCTTTCATGATTAAATTTGACAAGAACAATCACACAAAGCTTTAAATGAGATGGTGTAACATCCCTATTTCCCTATACTAACATCAGCGATAATAACATGTTGTAAGAATTTTATCCGTATTGGTCACGTAAATGGGGAACGGGTGTATGTGTCGAGTCAAAAATTAAAAGAAAATTATACTTGTACTTTTCATTATTGACCACAAAATTCTACCCTTCATTGCATTGATTATACTCCCTCCGTTTTTAAATACTTTCTCCATTTCTATTTTTTGCACTATTCATTTTGATAGAGTATAAAACATATTCCTGGGTCTCAACCATCGGCTTAAGTTTTTGGTTGAATTGGTCCTTTAACATGGTATCGGAGCCAACGTGACACAAAGGTTACGGGTCCAAATCTCATCCGCCTCTCCTTCAAAGTAGAATTAATTTGCATCAGGTATGGGTGGGCCTGTGTTGCATCCACATTTCTAAATACTACTATATATTTGAGGAAGTATATTTTATTTCTCAAATTTGGTGACATATACTACTATATATTACTCCCTTTGTTTTTAAATACTTGCTTCATTTCTATTTTTTGCACTATTCATTTATCATACTTTGACTAATGTTTGTGATTTATACATAAGAAAAAATATAGTCATGTGGGTAATTAAAGAGATTAGTGATCAAAGGTTAGCATCGGCATGCTTGTCCAATGTTAGAAATGGTAATGCAAACGGATTCTGGCACCCGATCGGGCGGTGGTTCGCCCAACCGGGCGGAGTTGGCTAAGGAAAATAGGAGGACTCTCGCGCCCGATCGGGCGGCTCTCGCCCGACCGGGCGACGGACTCGAGTTTTTGACGAGTCCGATCGGGCGGCTCTCGCCCGATTGCTCGCCCGAGGTGGGTTTTCTAGATCTCCCGATCGGGCGGTGTTCGCCCGACCGGGCGCGACACCAGGTCTGGAAAAACTTTATCTCGCGCCCGATCGGGCGGATGTTTGCCCGATCGGGCCCGCCTTTTTTCCTAGGTCGGTTTGTTTTACTTGTCTCCGATTTTCGGGATTCATATAAATACGAGCATTGCCTCTTTATCATTATTCAATTCACTTTCAAACCAATAACACGAACCTACCCTTTGAGATCTGAACAGTTCTTGAGCAATTCCACTGATCGGGTTCGGGTGCACGGATTACGGAGAGAGTTGCGTTAAACTTGGGGGGCGTGCGTCACTAGGAAACTTGTACCGGTGGTGGCGTATTTCGCTTCTAAGGCAGTGGATTATTGTTCCACGGCGCGACTGTGAGTCTGGGATCTTCAATCTAGAAAAGTTATGATCTTTTTGTTTGTTATTGATTTCAACAGTTATTTTACCAACATCCAAGAGAAATGGAGCAAGTATTTAAAAATAGAGGGAGTATTATATACTTCCTCCGTTCTGTTAATATTGCATCAAGGAGGAAATTCCGCATCCCAAAACACATTTTATATGCTAAATATCTATAATTGTGTAAGAGTAAAAATTATAAAAAATTGATATTGTGAAAGTATTATATGAGACGAATCCAACAATATCCCACTTGACTATATTTTTCTTAACGTATAACTCATATTATATGGTTAAACAAGAGTGATGAATAGTGCAAAAAGTCCATTGTTGCAATATTAATAGAACGGAGGAAGTATGAAGTAGTATTTTTCTAGTGAAAATTAGTAAACACCAATTGTATGGATGGATGGATTGCCAAATTGAGACGCTATATAATTAAGAATGATTAGGAGTTACAATGGGTGGGGGTGAGAATCGATCTTAGAATCTCCTGAAATCGAAAGGGAAACTCTAACCTTGATATACCTTGATTTTCCTATCACATGAATATCAAGGGGGCATTACCCACGGGAGAGTGGGGATACGAGCCAGCCTCAAACCGGGGTCATAGGCCTCACAACAGAACTGAAGCCTAGCTCTATTGAGCTATGGGCTTTGTGCTCGTTTTTAGTGTGTGGTTCCTAGAGGTGTGGGTACCTTGCTGCATTTGCATCGTACCACCGTTGCGTAAAAAGAACATATTATACCAATGTAAATAACATACAATTGTACAGTAAAAAAACATACTATTATAATGTAAAGAACATATATCTAAATTAAAAAGAACATATTTGCACCAAAAAAGAGTGAAAAAAACATATGTCCATATTCTTTGATTGTCAGTGTAATGAACTTTTATATGTAATATAATGTTTATTGCTTATTATGAAATGTTCATTGAATTTTGTCTTAAAATTATGATGGATATATATAAATAATGTTCAGTACATAATATTTTCACGTTCTTTATTAATATAACAGATGTTCTTTACATATACAAAAAAAACATAAAATTAATGTTCGTTACAAAACTGCTACTCCATCCGTGTTTTTTTTTTTTTTAAGTTTTACACTTCCCATTTCCGGCTGTGTTTTTTCAAGTGTTACACTTCTTATTTTGGCAAAAAGCTGCATTAAAATATTATATCTCTCTCCTCTCATGGTCTCCACTCAAACCCACTGCTACTTTTTTTATTATATTTTTCCTCTCACATTCATTACTTTTTTAATAAACAATTAACCCCACTATTTTTCTTTTACAATTTTTTAATACTCCAACTACCCCACTTACCTATTACTGTATTTAAGTCAATTAAATTGCCTAAAACTATGTCCCAGACAAACTGTAACACTTAAAAAAACACGGATGGAGTATATGATCTTTAAAAACAGCGGTATATTCTTTACAAAACAGTTACATGTTCCTTTTCTGCGCTTTTTGTCTGTACCAACTACCAAGCAAGGTATAGGTTGTTGTACCTTAAAATAATTTTTTATTTAATTACAAAATGGCCTAGTTCCTATTTTCTGTTCATCAATTAAGGAGCTGAGATAAATAAGGGCTTGCTCTAAGCCCCCAATTGTTATTTCTGTATTATTATGTTATCATGGTTTGTCCTAAACTCAATTACATTTTACGCAGAAAGTAGAATGGGGAAAGTTCAACATGATTGAGGCAGAATTGCGCTTACTAGCAAACGCTCTACAAGACGTTTCAAACCAAAGATTTGTTCTTCTCTCGGAAACTTGCATCCCTCTCTTCAACTTTTCAACTATCTATTCTTACCTTATAAATTCCACACAAAGTTACGTCCAAGCCTATGACAAAAGTGGTCCAGCAGCAAGGGGCCGGTACAAGCACCGTCTTGGTCCAAACATCACGGTCCAAGACTGGCGAAAAGGGTCTCAGTGGTTTGAGATGGACCGCGAGTTAGCCATCAAGGTCATGTCTGATCAACGTTACTTCTTGTCATTCAAGGGAGCATGCCTTAAGTCTGCATGCTATGCCGATGAGCATTACTTGCCTACTTGGATGAACATGAATGCTGGACAAAGAAACTCGAATCGAAGCATAACTTGGGTTAATTGGTCCAAGGGTGGATGTCACCCTACTAAGTATGACAGAATTCATATTACAGGTGAGTTTTTGAAGAAGTTAAGGAATTGGAAGACTTGTCAATATAATGGGAAGAAAACCAACATTTGCTTCTTGTTCGCAAGAAAATTCATGCCTAAAACGTTAAATAGGCTACTAATGTTGGCACCCCTAATTATGGGCTTTTAGACATGTATTATTGCTAGATCTCTTGCTCACAAAAAAATTGAAAAAAAAAAATCTCTTACTGGTTGACAATATGTTATTTTTTTCAAAGTAGATATATACTACATCTTGTTAGAAGATAAATATGAATGCCTATAATTATTTGATTTGATTTCACAATGTTCACACAAGTCCAAAGACTTGTGAACTTGTGTGGCATTATATGTAAAACTCTTGGCTATATAAGCCATGTTACCGGAGCAATATACATAATCAATTTCTCCATCTTCTCTTACTCCTTTATAAAACTTTCTATCGGTAAAACTTTAACACGTTATCAGCACCAGTTTTCAGTCAGGTATATTTATACCTACTTATAAAAATTTATAACAAAATAATACTATCTACTTCTAACTGTTTCGAGGAGTATGCTCTATAGTTGCCCATATTTGGGATTCTCTATAACAGAAACTCAAACATTTACTATATATACCTCAAAAACAACGGTGAAAGTTCTCTTACTTGCGAATTTACTACTATCATCTTTTGTTTATTCATGTTGATGTTTCTTTGTTTGATCCATGTTGATATTACATACTTATTTTACGTAAATTTTTATCTTAGTTATTTTAATTGCTAAGTAGTAGCTTTGCATGCATATTATTATTAACTAGATTAACAAAAAGATGCAGCCTTTTTTATACTTATTATTTTTCTTACTTTTACATACTTTTTTTGTGTTTCTTTCCGTTTTCGAACCCATGATCTTTTATAAATATTAGGGTTCTCGGACCACTATGGCTTGCATTCCCAGTGTGATAACCTTTTACAATTATAAATATATATATTTAGACCATAATTTTTGTCAGTATATTAGATAGTTATATGATATTTTTACAGTTGTACAGAACAGTAACGGATAAACCTACCTCTATAAAAGGCGGATTTTTTCCCGATTTCACCACAAATCCCTTATCCCTTCCCACTTTTTATCCAAAAATCACCTAAAAAAAATTTTTTTTTCACCCCCTTCTTCTCCGATATGTTCCCCGACGACGGCAACCAAAACACCCACAACTTCACTTTTGAGGAAGATTTAATGAAGATAAAACAATATTTCCTTCTAATTACGGCGCTTGTAATTTTATTAGTAGCAATATTAATTTTGGTCATTATGTATAAGTAAAACTCACTTATTTTGTCGTTTTAGTATATTAAAAGCTTGTTTTTGTTTTATTATGTATGTTTGTTGTTATTAATCATCATTGTATAATATTACCGTTATCATTATAATTATTGTTACTACTGTCCTTGTTGTCGTTTTGCTGTTTTTTTTTTGCAACTAACATGATTAATTTTTGCCTAATCACATAATTACTCACAATAATAAACCAAGGGGGAGAAAAGACTACATTATTTATGGTTTATTATTATTAAATTTAATTATCACGTGTCTTATTAACTTAATTATAAATATGGAAGAACTAAACATGTGAGTTGTACATATAATTTGTTATTATAATCTAATTATCACGAAATTTGTTGTAGCTAAAATGGGAGACCTTATGAAAAGACAGTTCAACATCTTAGATTTATCTGGAAAGAAATTTCTGGAATGGAAAGTGGACGCAATGATGAATTTGAAAGCTCAAGGCTTGGAGCACACTGTTAAAGAAAATAAAAGTCCCTCTGGTCAAACAACTGATGCTACCTCTTCTGCAATGACGGTTGAAAAACCTATCACTGAACAAGATAAGGCAAAAGCCTTAATGTTGTTAAGGCATCATTTACATGAAGGCCTTAAAACTGAGTACATGATGGTTGAAGATCCCAAAGAATTATGGGATTGCCTTAATGAAGATTTGGACACCACAAAAGGGTGCTCCTTCCTAAGGCATTATTTGACTGGACAAATTTACGGTTTCAGGATTTCAAATCTGTAATTGATTATAATTCAACCATACATGAGATAGTGTCTATATTGAGATACTGTGATCATCCGGTTACAGATGAACAGATGATTGAAAAAACACTCACTACCTTTCATGCAAGTAACATACTGTTGCAAGAACAGTATCGTGAAAGAGGTTTTAAAAAGTTCAATGAATTAATGAGTATATTGCTTGTTGCGGAACAAAATAGTGAACTTTTGTTGAAAAATCATAACCTGAGACCAACTGGGTCTTTGGCCACTCATCATGAGGCAAATGCAACAAATTCCTATCCACCCGAGTCAAATGCTACAAGAAGAGGTGGATGTGGAAATTACAATGGCCGTGGAAGAGGCCGTGGAAATTATCGCGGACGCGGCCGTGGTCGTGGTAGAAATAATTTTCAAAGAAATAGTAATTTCAAAAATTTTGAAAAACAGAAGGGACAGTCATCTGGAAGTTACAAACAAACTCCTTCGAAAGGAAAAGACACATGTTACATGTGGCATGACAGGACATTGGGGACGTACTTGTCGTACGGCCAAACATTTGGTAGATCTTTACCAGGCTTCTATAAAAGGCAAAGAGAAAAATGCAGAAGCAAATTATGTTAATGAGGAAAATGCTCCTTGTCCCAGCCTTGATGTGTCTGATTATTTCATGGATAATGCTGAAATTGGAAATGATTTCATTCTTGGAGAAAACAACAATGCTTAGGTTCCCCATCTACTAATGTAACATATGCTATGTTTTAATGTATTTTCTTAGTTCCCTGTATTTTAAATTTCTAGTCATGTACTTTAAATCTTTATCATCAATAAAAGTTTGTATGATATTATTCTAAACTAATCTTAAATTTATTTTATGAAGATATGGATCTGCCTGAAGTTAGTTCCGAATATCAATGCCTTTTGGACAGTGGAACAACACATACTATCTTAAAAGATAGAAAATATTTTTCACAACTAAAGTTGTTTCAAGCAAATGTAAACACCATTTCCGGGTCAGCTAAATTAATTGAAGGATCTGGAAAGGCTTGTATAATGCTTCCAAATGGAACAAATTAATAATAAATAATGCTTTATATTCGAGTAAATCTCGAAGAAATCTCATAAGCTTCAAAGATGTACGCCAAAATGGCTATCATCTAGAAACAATGACAACAGATCAAAAAGAGTATATATGCCTCACGACAGAAAAACATGGCAAGAAACATATATATGAGAAATTGCCAGCATATTTTTCGGGGTTATATCGTATAAACATACGACCCGTGGAAATCAATATGGTATCTAACCAGAAGTTAGATGACAAACATTTGATTATTTTATGGCATGATCGTTTGGGACATCCAGCAACTGGGATGATGCAAAGAATAGTAGCACATTCAGTTGGACATTCAATAAGAAATGTCAAATTCCCCGATCAGATGAATTAACATGCTCTGCATGTTCACTTGGCAAATTAATAATAAGGCCATCTATGAACAAAATTGCTACTGAATCTCCAAAATTCTTGGAAAGAATTAAGCGAGATATATGTGGGCCAATTAATCCAGCATGTGGACCATTTCGATATTTCATGGTTTTAATTGATGCTTCCACACGATGGTCACATGTTAGTCTGCTTTCAAGTAGAAATATTGTCTTAGCAAATTACTTGCCTAAATCATCAAATTAAGAGCACAATTCCCATATCATACAATAAAGAAAATAAGACTTTACAATGCTAGGGAATTTACATCCCAAACATTTAATGATTATTGTATGTCAATTGGAATTGATGTTGAACACCCAGTAACTCATGTTCATACACAAAATGGTCTAGCTGAATCACTAATTAAGAGATTACAATTGATTGCAAGACCATTATTAATGAGGTCAAGATTGCCATCATCTGCTTGGGGACATGCTATAATACATGCAGCAGCGCTAATTAGATTGAGACCTACAGCTTATCATAAATTCTCACCACTACAACTTGTTTGTGGTCGAGAACCAAGTATCTCACATCTAAAAATCTTTGGTTGTGCTGTATATGTTCCCATTGCTCCACCCCAACGAACAAAAATGGGTCCACAAAGAAGGCTGGGAATTTATGTCGGGTTTGAATCCCCCTCTATAATTAAATACCTTGAACCATTGACTGGTGACTTATTTACGGCTAGATTTGCGGACTGTCACTTTAATGAAACAGTATTCCCAGCCTTAGGGGGAGAGAAAGTGGACCCACATAAGAAAGAAATTGAACTCATTTGGAATGCAACACAACTGTGATGTTAGACCCACGAACAAATATGTGTGAACAAGAAGTTAAGAAAATTGTTCATTTACAAAGTGTTGCAAATCAATTGCCTGATGCATTTGTAGACACAAAGAAGGTGACAAAATCACATATACCAGCAGAAAATGCCCCTGCACGTATTGAAATCCCAACTGGTAATAAGGCCATAGAAAATGAATCTCAGGCACGCAGAAAGCGTGGAAGACCACTTGGTTCAAAAGATTCTAAGCCAAGAAAATTGAAAAGATTGGATGGAATAGAAAATGAGACTAATGATGTTCCCCCGTCAGAAGGTCAAGAAAAACCAAATGTGGATGAAAGTAAAGAAAATGATGATAATCCAAAAGGGGACGAACAAGAAGACAACCCTACGGGGAATGAACAAGATGTTCAAAACATCGATAACAATGAAATTTCAATGAATTACGTCTCTACAAAGACTCAGTGGAATAGGAAAGATGTTATCGTTAATGAAACATTTGCAAATTCCATCGCAATCGACATCGTGTCTGATGAAAATGATGTTGAACCAAGAACTGTAGAAGAATGTCGACGTAGGAGTATTTGGCCAAAGTGGAAGGAGGCAATGCTGGCTGAGTTAAAGTCACTTGAAAAACGAGAAGTTTTTGGAAAAATAACCCTTACACCAGCAGGTGTAAAACCCGTTGGATACAAATGGGTATTTGTAAGAAAACGTAATGAGAAAAATGAAATAGTTAGATACAAGGCAAGACTTGTAGCCCAAGGATTTTCTCAAATTCCAGGGATTGATTATGAAGAAACATATTCTCCAGTGGTTGATGCAACTACATTAAGATTTCTGGTAAGTTTGACAGTCACAAAAGGACTGCAAATGCGATTAATGGATGTAGTGACTGCGTATTTGTATGGGTCACTCGATACGGACATTTACATGAAAGTCCCCGAAGGACTAAAACTACCAGAAAACCACAAGCCTAGACAACTGTTTTCCATAAAACTAAAAAGGTCACTTTATGGATTGAAACAATCAGGAAGGATGTGGTACAACCGTCTGAGTGAATACCTTATGAGAGAAGGATTCAAAAACAACCAAGTTAGTCCCTGTGTTTTCATAAAGAGATCACAATCAGGATTCGCTATCATTGCAGTTTATGTTGATGATTTAAATATCATCGGAACCCCAAATGAACTCGAGAAAACTGCAAAATACTTGATGAAAGAATTTGAGATGAAAGACCTTGGGAAAACTAAATTTTGCCTTGGACTACAAATTGAGCACTTGAGTCATGGCATTTTTGTCCATCAATCAAACTATACAGAAAGAGTTTTGAAACGTTTCTTCATGGACAAAGCAACCCCAACCAACTTCCCAATGGTTGTTCGTTCTTTGAATATGAAAAATGATCCATTCAGACCCCGAGAAGAAAATGAAGAGATTCTGGGTCCAGAAGTACCATACTTAAGTGCAATTGGAGCCTTAATGTACTTAGCTAACAATACTAGACCCGACATAGCTTTCTCTGTGAATTTGTTAGCCAGGCACAGCAATGCACCAACATATAGGCATTGGAAGGGAGTTCGACACTTACTCCGGTACCTACGAGGGACACAAGACCTTGGTTTATATTACCAACCAAAACAAGATGATGCTCTCATTGGGTATGCAGACGCTGGATACTTATCAGATCCTCAAAATGCCAAGTCACAAAATGGATATGTATTCACTTATGGCGGCACTGCAATATCATGGAAATCAACAAAGCAGACATTGACCGCGACATCATCAAATCATGCAGAATTGATAGCCCTCTATGAAGCAGGACGGGAATGTGTGTGGCTGAGGTCGATGATCAGTAATATCCAAAAGGAGTGTGGAATGAACGCAATAACAGAAGACCCAACCATCATCTTTGAAGACAATACAGCATGTATCGCTCAAGTAACTGAAGGATATATTAAGGGAGATAAAACGAAACATATTGCCCCAAAACTGTTCTTCACACATGATCTGCAAAAGGACGAGGAAATAAATATCCAGCAAATTCAGTCTTGTGAAAATCTTGCCGACCTTTTCACCAAATCACTTCCTTCGAAGAAATTTGAACAGTTAGTTCACAAAATCGGAATGCGACATCTTCGTGAACTATGCTGAGATCAGGGGGAGTATTATATGTACTGCACTCTTTTTCCCTTCGATCAGGTTTTTATCCCGCCGGGTTTTTCCTGACAAGGTTTTTAACGAGGCAGTATATCAAAGCATATAATACTATATCGTTGTACTCTTTTTCCCTAGCTATGGTATTTACCCCATAAGGGTTTTACCTAGCAAGGTTTTTAATGAGGCAACAAATACCTTTCTGTATAATAAGTATGGGCATTCAAGGGGGAGTGTTAGAAGATAAATATGAATGCCTATAATTATTTGATTTGATTTCACAATGTTCACACAAGTCCAAAGACTTGTGAACTTGTGTGGCATTATATGTAAAACTCTTGGCTATATAAGCCATGTTACCAGAGCAATATACATAATCAATTTCTCCATCTTCTCTTACTCCTTTATAAAACTTTCTATCGGTAAAACTTTAACACATCCATATTTTTTTATGTTTATTTCATTTGTTTTTTCAACAAGGATATAGATGCGAGTAACAATATGTTAATACTAAATTCTAGTTATGCAAAAGAAACTTTGAGTTCTATTTTGTACGTTGCAGATTTCTAAGAGCAAATTTCCACTTTTTGCTTCAAGCAAACCATCTACAATATAAATAATATTACCTATATAGTAAGCTAGAAAGCCTAGAATCAAATGGAAATGAAACCGGCATTTTAACTGGTTAAACCTAATTTACATCACTCAAGAGTCTGAGAGTTTATATAATGGCTTTGAGAAGATTCACATCGTACAACTTGTGTTGCATAATCATTGATTCATTGGCTAACGCCCCCTGTATCCTCAGAGATAGAAGGTGAATCAGAGTCAAAGTTATCGTGTGATGGTGATACTTCTACGCCACGTATCTCCTCGATCATTTTGACCACTTGCCCCATTCTAGGCCGATGGTCAGGAGATGCAGTGGTACAGGCCATGGCAATCTGCAATAAGCCCACCATCTCCTCCTCAATGTCCTTGTACCTCATTAACTCTAGATCGAAAACCTCAGCAGTCCATTCTTCCCTTACTACTGACTGCACCCATCTCGGAAGATCCACCACCCCACCAACTCCTACTGTGCCATAAGGTCCACTTCCCTCTACTATTGATGGATACTTTCCTGTAAGCCAAAAACACAAAATGTGATTAGTGTGACATAATGGTGTCTAAGTTTATCAACACTATATCTCAAGCGCTACTCTTTGATACTTGATTGAGGGGCTCGTCAAAATAACATGTAGCAACCTGTAGGATACATGCCTACCATGGGTATAGAAAGGCCGATCAACCAGTCAGAGTAACAACATTTTAGAGAGTGCAGCAATAAGTAAATGATTGCAGCCAGATATGTAATAGGGATGTTTGCATATGGAATATGACTTCATGAGCATGTTTCTTTCTTTCACGATATCTTTTTGTAATTTATACGTCATATTTGTCATTTTTAATGGCAAGTAGACATAATCCCTAGAATCACATAAACTACTTGTTTAACGATATAGTTATCATTATTCCAAATACCTGTTAGAAGCTCAAGCAGCAAAACCCCAAAAGAATAGACGTCAGCCTTTTGGTTGAGCCTGCGACCATCAAGTGATTCAGGAGCACGGTAGCCATTTGATCTTGCATTGGTGGTTGAATTAGGGGCAAAGCTTGAGAGACCAAAGTCAGACACACAAGCATCACCAGTTTTATCAATGAGGATATTTGTCGATTTGATATCACCATGGATCAGTTTGAGGGTTTTGCACGAGTTATGGATGAATGCAACTCCTCTCGCTGCTCCTGCAGCTATCTTTAATCTCGTTGTCCAGTCTAATGGGGTTCGTCCAGGTCCTCTGTTTCCTGCCACATAAAAAAAAATGTGGTTTTTACTTCCTGAGAAAATCTAAACAGTAATAGTAACAAGTATTCTAATTATAAGTTTATACTACTCGGTCAAGAAGTTTTACTTTACAAATGCATGTTGTTGAGTTATCGAGAGTAATCATATGTTTAAATTAATCATTAAACAAGTGATTCAAATTTCCATGTCCCCAAACTTCAAGACTATCAAATTCAATATAATACTAGAAAGTAGAAACTAGTCATTTTATAGATCAAAATTTCACACAGGCATAATGTAGATGGTCACATGATACAAAGACAAACAGTTTAGCAGATCAAGATCATATGCCTCGAGCTGGAAAAGACATCAAATATGGAATGGGAACAAACACTAAAATCAAATTGGAGTCCTCGTTTAATTATTTGTGAATATTTTAATTAATAATTTGCTCCGATCTTACCACGAAATATAAAATAGTGTAGACTCTATAACAGCAAATTTTTGATAGAAAAAAGGGAGCGAAATTACACTGACTACCCTTTACTTTTTCAAAACAAAGTAGATAAAGTAAGTAACAAACTGAAAATTGCCACCTTTTGGCTAGAAAATTTTATGTAGTTGAGCGTTACTCATGCCAATACGGCAATACCCATCATTAAAGAAGAGATTTCTAACTGTTTCATGTGGTCAATGATATGATAATTCTATAATAAAAAAAAAAAAGAGATTTTTGATTAATTCCTTTCAAATACTCGTATCGGACCCTTAACATTCAAATATGGGTAGAATGTAAGAAAACAAAATAACCAATTAACCGAGTAGGACAATTAGACAAGTGTAACATCGATATCCAAATAATATGAAGAATGTAAGAAAACAAAGTGAAGCAACACCTTCAACTGTGAAGACCACCACCAAGAGAGGGGCCCACAATGGGTGTGCTTGAACTGTTAGCTTGTGAGTTGTAAGTGGAGCACATAATTAGTTTTAGAAATATAAGCAGATTTTCTGGGGTGGGGTTCTTTTGAGTGAAAAATAACATAATTAAGCCATGAAAAGAACAAAAAGGCAATATTATTAGGTACTTTATGATGAAATGAAGATAAACGCTCTCCTATAATTCTGATTTTGAGGGTTTTAAAGGTTTTGATGTAAACACGGTCGTGTGAGTATCACATAAACGCTCCCACATCATTATCTTAGTATCTTCCCCTTTCCCCAAAATGGAGCAATGATGTTTATGTGAGGGGTAGAATTCATTTTCACTTTGTACAAAAAACTGAACTACTACTACAGTACAATAACAGAACTGTTTTTTCTTTCTTGGCCCCCATGCAATCTCCTTTCTTTAATCCCCGTCCCCCCAAATAAGGTACTCATAGTGATTATTTTATTCGCTAGGTAGACCAGGCAAAACCGACTCATATGAATATATAAAACTCAATAATCCGTAATATATAAATTGAATTTAATAGACACGAAGCAAATCAGAGTCTAACTATATGATCCAAACTGAATGATGTGTATGCCAATGTACATATCTTTAGGTCTAATTTGAAAAAGACACAAAATGCATAGGAGTTCATCCAATAACACCCTCAGCTATCCAAAACATGCTCCTTATGTTCTAAGGTATCTCAAAACATCTTCAAAAGCTCCAACAAAACCACCAGAATACCCTTGATATTGAACTACAAGTTTTTTATTTACAATAGTTTGACTTCCACATATGCCTAACACAAAACTTTGACCATTAATTAATGATTAGTAAAACTATAAAGATTTTATATTTTCTTAAAAAATCCATCTAGGCTATTTCAATAGCATTTCACATAATTGTTCTTATAATTGACTTAAATATTATGATCAAAATTAGTACTCTGTGTATAAATATTACCAAAGTCAAACTGTGGCAAAATTATTATTAGACCAAATTACCCCTGTATCATGTTTATGATTTAATAAGAATATTAATTAATAAATTGAGAAGAAGGAATTCAATATCAGTATAAACAATAAAACATACATGTGTCTACTTTGGACCTTTTGTGTCTAAGAATCCAATAAAATTATACATACACACCAATGGAATTGACCTCCAAATTGTTTTTTTCCTACAGAGTACTATAAACTTGACCCTTCTTAATATCTTATATTAGCTACATTACAAAAAGAAATCGTACATTCATACTTTAAACCAAAAAAACAAGACCTTAACTTGGTATAGAATTTTAGAATAAAGTTGAACATTAACACACATCACATGCATATTCTGCCATGACGCTACTTCCAAGCTGGCCAATAAATGGCCATTCATAATTTCTTAATTAACGCAATATTAATTATTAGTGGTTATGCTAATTAATTATCTTTACAATTCAATTACCACCTACTTGCTTCCATTTAAGGGTACAATATTTCATCTTACACTCTTCCAGCTAATTCCTTAATACCTTCATCTTCTAATATTGCCAAAATTAATTTCTTGATTTGCCTGATTAGTATACTACATACATGGTACATCCCATTTTATATGTACTACCTCATTTTTTATGCTATTCTCTAGCTTATCATTACTCTCACTAGTGAAGTATACGTTAGAACCTACTCCTACTTCGATACAACATTTAATGATTCAATCATTCAACTAACTAAAACCCACAAAAAAACAAACAAACAAACAAACAAAACGAGGGCTAAGTAACCAATTGATCAACTTTTTTTAACCTTGTGTTTTAACAACCGGCTAGTCGGGCCAAAATCGAGTCATCTAATATCGAATACAACTTGGTTTCAGGCAAAGATATATATTGATCGATTTATTTTAAGATTTTTAGCCCCATATCTCAATATCATCTAAGATTACCCATGAAAATCGGATCAAAATCAAGTCATCTAATTTCAGTTCCAACTTAGTTATAAGACAAGTCATGCGAGTCGATTCCTAAACATACAAGTAAAGTATCTAATATTTGTAATGCGATTATGTTACACAAATCAACTAGAATTACTTCAAAAAACTAAAAAGCTGTTAATTAAAACAAAAAATCGATTCCTAAACATACAAGTAAAGTATCTAATATACAAGTATCTAATTCAAGTATGTGACACAAATCAACTAGAATAACTTCAAAGAACTAAAATGCTGTTAATTAAAACAAAATATAATCAAAATAAGGAGAAAAGAGAAAATATATTTACCATGAAGAAGCCAGAACAAGCTGCCATTAGGCAAGTAATCAAACACCAACAATTTCTCATCCCTAGCAAAATAATAAGCCTTCAAACTAACCAAATTTGGATGCCTCAACCTCCCTAAAACCTCCATTAGTTGCTCAAACTCTTTCTTCCCACCAACCTGAGCCTCTTTCAACCTCTTTACCGCCACTACACTTCCGTCATCCAAAACAGCCTTATACGCCGTCCCAAACACCCCTTTCCCCAACATCTCCGCCGACGCTCGTAACAAGTCTTCTAACTCAAAACTCTTTCCTCCTTCGAAGAACACCATCCGACCCGGCCGGTCCAACCCGGCAAGTCCACTCGGGTATGGACTCGCCGAGTACACAATTTTCTCTCCTCCTGAAACTACCCCTGAATTCTTGTTCTTATTACTCCTCCAGAAGTAACAGTACAGGAGTAAACTAATAGCTGCTAACACCAAAATATCTCCGACAATAATTGCAATAATAGCCCATAAACTCAATCTACCGTGATTATGACCCGGATTTTTCACCGGGTAATCTCTCGACGGCACGGTGGATACCGGAGAGGATGAGACGACGGCGGTGGTGGGTCCCACCGGTGGTGGAACGGCGTCGTTTCCGGGTTTTGCCGGGTCGTTGGAAACCTCCTTGCAGCTCAATAATGGCAGTCCACAAAGAGCTTTGTTGCCGGAAAACGCAGAATCTGGGAAAGTAGAGAGAGATTTGGGTATTTGACCACCTAATTTGTTTCCAGAAACGTTGAAATCCTGAATGTGGGGGAGATTCAACCCGATAATTCCGCCGGAAAACGCATTCTCCTCTAACCGAAGGGTCAACAGATGAGTCAAACGATTGACATTTTGCGGGATTACACCGGAGAAGGTGTTATGGGAAAGATCAAGGCGGTAGAGGCGGAAGATGGAGGTGACGGAGGCGGGAAAGTCGCCGGAAAAGTTGTTGTAGGACAGAAACAGGAGTTTGAGGTTGGAGAGAGGGGAGAAATCCGGTGGGAGTTCGCCGGAGAAGTGGTTGTGTTTTAGAGAGAGGACACGAAGATGGGTAAGTGAAAGTAAGGAGGTTGGGAAGGTGCCGGTGAGGTTGAGGTCTTCAAGGACGAGCTTAGAGACGCGGTTTTGAAGACAGGAGACGCCGTGCCATGAGCACGGGGTGGCCGTGGTGTTCCAGGAGAGGGAGTTGGAGACGTCGGCAGAGGATTTGAAGGAGAGTAAGGGTTGTATGTCGGGGTGGGTAATGGCGGTGGTGTGGTAGAGGGTGGTGAAGAGGAGAAGGAGAAGGGTGGAGTGGAAGAGGTGGTGGTGGAAGGGAGGGTTGTTCGCCATTAATGGTGGTCAGAAAGTGAGGGAGAACTGAAGAAGTGTGTGAGTGTAAGAGAGTACTGAGAAGGAGTGTAGTCTGTAGTGAGAAGAACAAGTGACTAGTGAGGGGTTGTTGAGGTGGAGTGAAGAGAAACGGTTGGAGAATAAGGGTGTGGAGTAAATGACAAAAATGTTGTGCAACGGTAAAAAAAAAATATTAACTGTTGTGGAGTACGGTAAAAGAAATTTAAGATTATTTGTACGTGCCTGAATAATAGATACAGTTAAATACAAATATACGGAGTACAATGTATACTTTCGTTGTTTTTTAATACTTGTAAGTTGCAACACATTATTTTTCACGGGTTTTTTTTAGAAAAGTGCGTCTCATGTAATTTAAAACAATTAAAATGGAAGATAAAGATAGTTAAGAGTTAATTTTTTTGGTGTTTAAAGAACCACAAGGGCGGGGGTGAGAATCGATCCCAGGATCTTCTGGAATCGGAAGGGAAGCTCTAACCACTTGAACTATCCCTCACTCTCTAGTTAAGAGTTAATTTAGTAGGCCATGAGATTATAATAAGGATAATAGTAAAACTATTGACATAAAATACTTTACAGTTATAGTGTGTTACAACTATTATGACATTTTCATTTTAAGGAAGTGTTGCAACTATAAAGAAACGGAGGAAGTATATAATTAAGAAAATTTTGTAAATAACCCTCCTTCGAAACACCCTACAATATATCATATTACTAATATATAAAGGCGATCTCGACATTTCGTAGTCAGGCCACAAGACAGTGACACTTAGCAATCCAGTTATTTGTCATGTGTCACAGCTAGAATGTTTGGTTGTTTATAATGGCTTTTGAAATTGGCTACTGTACGTATTTTTTGATGCTCAACTGGCTACTGTATTTAAGATGACTGTTTAGTGAGTTAAGTTGTTGGCTATTTATTAGATAATTTGTGGGCTTGCTTTTTTTTGATAAAAAACCAGCTTTTACGTTGACCGAAAAGCCAATTACCAAACAATTTTTTTGGTTGTTTATTAGATAATTGTGGGCTTGTTTTTTCATTTTGGCTTAAAAGCCAGCTTTTTCGTTAACTGAAAAGCCAAGTACCAAACAATTTTTTTGACGGTTTGACCACATAAATAAGCCAAAAGTTAATCAAAAAGTCATTGCCAAACATGGCCTTACTTATAATTGAGTACATACTCCAATTAGTCTATATGCTTCCATACCTTTATAAAAGTATGATTATATGCTTCCATACCTTTATAAAAGTATGATTAACATCTTATGAATAGAATTGAAACGATTATGCCCCTAAAAATAGAAAAAATTGTCAAGAACTACATGCATGCTTAATAAGGGTATTTGGAAACTACCCAATAAAAATTTTTATCAAAAAAACTACCCCTTAAATTTAAAAAGTTAGAGCAGCACTACTCATTTGCATTTTCCGGCGAAAAAATCCGGCGTGTAGGCCCACTTTTTCAATTTTTCTTCTGAAAATTCCTAATTGAAGAAGTGAAAACAGGTAGGGTATGCAATTCATAGGTAATTCTTCTCTTTTAATCCATTAATTATGAATTTTGATGTTAGGGTGTCACGATTAGAAAAATTAAGGTTCATAGAAATTGGGGATAATTTGAAATTGGTTGAATTTGTTGCTTTTAATTCAAATTGGTTATCTTAGGGTTACGAATTAAGGTCCAATTTGTTATTGCATCGTGTCTTTTAAAAAAAAATTGAAAAAGTGGGCCCATGCGCCGGACATTCTCACCAGAAAATGCAAATGGGTAATGCTACTCTAACTTTTTAAATTTAGAAAATGTTAGAGGTAGTTTTTTTGATAAAATTTTTTAGTGGGTAGTTGTTTCCAAGTACCCCTATTAAGCGTGTCGTTCCTGACAAATTTTCCCTAAAAATATTTACATATCTACCCCTTTTAAAAGTATGAATGCACTTTTATGAATAATGTTAGACGATTATGTCTCTAAAATGTACATTTACATATTTTCCCTCATACATGTTTTTTTTTTTTTTTTTTGAAACATTAAGAAAAGTTTATGGACATTTGTATAGCTAAATAGTTTGGGTTACAATTAAAGTTATAAAATAACACTAAATTGAAAAAACTTCCTTGACATGCTTGTTATGACATACGTATAGCATGGTTTTTTTTTTTTTTTTTGTTTTTTTTTTTTTGAGGGAAACGTATAGCATGGTTAGTCACACTAGTTTTAAAGAGGTATGCACGCGGTAGTCACACTAGCTTTAAAATTGTGAAACGCTAAACATCGCCCGCAATTTACCATATAAAGCCCACAAATATGATATGGTTTGACCATTATGCCCATTTTCTAAAATTGAAATAATCTCGGTGTAAAAAATGTGGAGCCGTACTGGCTCGTCGGGGGAGACCGGAGGGCAGGCCGGAGATGCGGGGGACGCCGGAGGTACGTCGTCGTCGACGGAAAACGAGGTAAGTCACCGTTAAAATTCACGGTTTACCGTCGGAGTGGCTCCGGCGCCTAGGATGGACGCCCATACCGTAGCCTGGACGTCCAAGCCAGACGCCAGAACCACCAGAGTGGCGTTCAGCCCAGACGCCCAGACCACCAGACTGGCGTCCTGGCCAGGCGCCACTCTACTGGCTGAGGCTGCCCTGCCAGGCGCCAGTCTAGTGGCTGTGGCAGCCCTGGCAGACGCCACCCTTATAAATTAATTTTTTTTTTCTTTTTTGATTTTGTTGTTGTTTTTTATTTAATTTTTTTTAAAAAAAAAAAACGAAAATGATTTTTTAAAAAAATTCGAAATGGTTTTTTTTTTAAATTAAATTTGAAAATTCGAAATAGGTTTTTTTAAAATTAAATTTGAAAATTCGAAATGGTATATTTTTAAATTTAGTTTGAAAATTCGAATTGGATTTTTATAAAAATTAAGTTTGATTATATATAATTACGCTTTTTTTGTGTTAATTCTGTGTAAATATAGAAATTAAATGTATTATCCGTTAAATGTATTTATTGTAATATATAATTGATGCAGGAATATGGTGGAGACGGAAATGATTACAGTGGGATATTTGGACATGATGGTCCATTCGAAGAAGCTCAACAGGCGATTGATTGGGCAAAACAGGTTGCAATTGCAGCTGGATTTTGCTTGGTAGTAGTAACTCATAAATCTCAACGGGATGGTAGAATGGATCGCATTTTGAGATGTGACCGTTATCGCAAAAGAGAAGAAAGAGATTTTCGTACAGCCACTCGGTTTGATACAAAGCGGAAAGGTTGTGGGTGTGAGTTCAGAGTAAAGGTTCGACAACTACGGAGTCGTGACGGTTGGGAAGTGATTGGTTACTCTAAATGGGGGTATCACAACCATGAGATGATAGTATATGAAGAGGGTCATCGACAACTGAGCGGCTTAAGTCCTGCTACAAAACTAGTTGTGAAAGAAATGAGTGATGCTCAAGTGAAGCCTGCTAAAATATTAGCATCTGTGTTAGAGAAATTTCCAGAAGACCATCCAAACCGAAGACACATCTACAACGTTAGACAGCAACTCAGGTTTGAACGGTCAGAGGGAAGGAACCCTATACAGCAGCTGCTACACCAGGCACAATCACGTGGTTACCTGTTCTGGTTTGATTCTGATGAAGATACAGCGGAGGTGACTCATCTTTTCCTTGTGCATCCTGATTGTGCTGATATGATCAAGTCTTGGCCATTTGTGATTTTGATCGACTCAACGTACAAGACAAACAAGTACAAGTTCCCACTGGTTGAGATGGTTGGGATGGCTCCAACGAACCAGAAATTTCTGATTGGTCATGCAATCATCAAGGATGAGACGGCTCCAAGTTATTATTGGGTGTTGGAGAAGTTGAGAAACTACATCGGGCCTAATGTTCATCCAGCAGCCATCGTCAGCGACTGTGAGGGAGGTCTCTTTGCCCCCATAGCAGAGCTGTTTCCCGAATCGAACCACTTATTGTGCACATGGCACATCAACAACTGCGTGAAAGTGAAAGCCTACAACCTTTTCAAGAAGAATTTGGAAATGGCAGAGAGATTGGTGAATGGTAAGTGGCGGAAGATCCTACAGGCTACCACAGAGGAAGCGTATGAGCGAGCATTGGCTAACTTCAGGGATTCGTACCAGTGGTGTCCGGCACTGGTGGACTATGTGATGCATCAATGGGTCCCTCACAGGGAAAAGTTTGTCAAATATTGGACAAACCAGGTACTTCATTTTGGGAACACTACAACATGTAGAGTTGAGAGCGCTCATAGAGCTACCAAGGACTGGATTGATTCATCGACCGCTGCTTTGGATACACTGTTCGCTAGACTGAACAAGTCAATTGAAACTCAGAAGAACGACATCAGGAACTCTCTAGAGGACTCCAGACGACGACATGGTACGATGTATAGCCATTTTATATTTAAGATTCTCCATGGTCGTGTGTCGCACTACTGCTTGGGGTTGATTCTCACTGAGCTGAACAGGGCTACTCATGTACTTCATGACATGTTCCACCCGTCTACCTTAGATTATGAGGAACCCGAAGGAGTTGACCGTCCTCGAGGTCGACAACGGCGGAACAGGAGTGCGTTTGAGTATATCCGTGGTCTTGGTCGTGGTCGTTCTCGTGGTCGGACATCGTCATCTAGTCGTAGTCAATCTTCATCGTCTGTGAATATGCCCCTGAGAACTGGTACGTTTTGGTTGTTTTTATTGCACATAGTTTTAAAGTGTTACTCCTGCCTTCTTAACTGTCTATAATTATATGGTGAATAGGAAGAAACGATGTTGATCAGTTTCCGTACAAGGAAAGGATACCTGCGATCATCATGTCGTACTTGGAAGGGTGGAATGATGTAATCGGAGATGGTAACTGCGGATTCATTATCTTTCCCATCTAAAATGTTACAATCTTACAACATAATGTCCAACATAATGCTCTATAAATAAAATGACATTACCATCAGTAATCCCTCCTCGACGACGACTCCCACTGCGCAAGGGTCTGTTCCAGACTATCAACAACAGCTCTCCCTGTTGCACTCATGCTGTCCTTCTCAAGAGAGAGTTTCTGTACGTCCTGCATTATCTTTCCCATCCACTGCATACAACAAAAAACAGAAGATGAAATACAATAACAACATATAAAACTTAATTAAAAGACAACGATAAATATAATAAAAGACATACCGCTTCCGTGGCAGTAGGCGGTGGCACATAATCATCATCGCTGTGGTCGAGATCTGCGATCAACCTCGGGTGCGAATACCGGTTGAACCATTCCATGTAGTAATGGTCACACATGGGAGTAACCCCAGAGGGCGGCCGCTGCAACTCCGCAGTCCATAAGCGGGCCACCATCGGAAACTGGTCCCACGTCCCGGTCATGATATCCGGCCATTGCACGACGTAGTCCCTCGACGATGCAGGTCGGACCGCCTTCATCGGGCATGCCGGGGGAGGAGGGACAACTTGGACAAATCCAAGCTGGCGAAGACAACGCTGGGGCATGTACGCCTCGACGATCTCACGATACTGAATGAGTCCCGTGTACAGGGTCCTGGGTAGCCTAACACTAGGGTTCG